CTCCTAGGGGGATGGCCATGCCATAATCCCTTCTCTTCCTAAGATTTTGAACATGCACACACATGTGCCTGGCATGAATTTTTAGCTGCCAGGTCCAGGACTCGAACCATGGTCAGTCATGTGGAAGTCTAGCACCTTAATTTCTACACTATCTGTGAACTCCCTCTGTCCAAACGGCCTGCTGCACCACCGGCGCGAGTGAGGGTTTGCTGCGTGACAGGTGTGACAGGCGCTGAATGCTGGCTCTCCTAATCTCCATCACAACTCACAACTGCGCGGGGCAGGATGTGGTTTTGGAGGTGGGGAAATCGAGGCCCCAGGTCACACAGAGCTGTGACGCAGCGGAGATCGAATGCTGCCATCTGTCTGCAGAGCACTTACTGCCCATCCTGCTGTTTCTCCTAGTGCTCGAAGTATGCGCGTGCGCACACACACACACACACACACACACACGCACTCACAACCTGGGCTGGGCACTGCAGTGCACCCCCAGGACTCCAAGTCTCTCCCGAGTGCCTGCCTCCCATCAGCTGGTGCACACCCCAGGCTGTTTACGACCTCGCCGTGTGACATGTACTGCTATCACGCACATAAGCAGGCCTGGCCTAGATTCCTGAGCGAGACATCAGCTCTGCCTACTCATCCTCCAAGGCGCAGCTCCTCGGGGAAGCCTCTGCTGTCCCCAGGCTGCGTAAGCACTCCTCTCCAGTCTCCCTGCCCCTCTGCTCCTGCTGCTCCAGATCAGGATAACTGCCTGGGGCTCTGGGAGGCTGAGGGGCTGCTCTGCACAAGGCTCAGGATGGCGTTGCTAAATGAACAAAGGACCTGGGACCGAGGGCCACCCGGTTCTACTGCCCCGACCAGAGCAGGCTGTGAAAGGACCTCTCTGGGGTCTTCCCTATTTTTTCCAGCTCCTCCCCCTTCCTGTCCTCCCACCTCCACAAAATGCTCGAGGCCTCCCTCCTCCTCTAGGGAATGTGTGATTAAGGCAGGCAAGACTGGTTGCAGGGTTCCTGGGTCCTATTCTTGGCTGTGGCCTCATTCTGGAATGTGCCTTGAGGTCAAGTGACACTCCTGTCTCAGGCTGTGTCAGAGGAAGGAAGGATAAGCCTCCAGCAGGCATTCTCCTGGGGAGAGGGGAGAGTAGGCAGGTGGGTGAACCTCTGCCCTCTCCTCCTTCCTGCCTCCCAGGCTCTTGAGCCCCTCACTCTGCTCCTTTGGGGTCAGGTTGGAGTCTCTGCGTCCAGGCCCCAATCACCCTGGGATGGGGCTCTGGCATCCAGGTCTCCAGCAGCACACTGGACTCACTCAACCCCTCTCAGATGAAGGGAAAACAGGACTCCACGCCAGCTCAGCCCGGATTGGACTCTCCTGGAGGTGGGGCCTCTTCCCAGTGTGTCTGTCAGGGGTCAGGTGGAGTGCTTGGGCATTTTCATCCTTTCTCAAGTCTCGAGGATCCTGCCAGACATTGGACAGGATGAAGATGTAGCCGTCCAGATCACTTGTTCTCTGCCTGGGGTGAGACGTGATACTGTCCCTACGACGAGAGGGCAGAGGACAGTGACTTTGTCTCTCCTCTGAGTGGCAATCAGGAAGCAAAGCGAGGGCCTAGCATGATGTCAAGGACCCTCCGCAGGAGAAGGGCACAGTGACAGAGGCGGGGGCACGTGGACACTCTGAATCAGGCTGGTGTCCAGTGTCATCCCCATGACCCTCTTTAAGCGAGCTCTGCACCATTTGGCAGACCCCGCCCTGGGCTACGACGTTCAGGAGGGCAGAGAATGCATGTGCTGTGTCCACCTCTGCACACCCAGCGCAAGCCTGACCACCCCAGGGCTGCACAGATATTTGTTGAATGAATGAGTGAATGAA